ATTGGCAATGTTGGTCAACAGAGTAAAAGCCAGTGAACAAAGAATTCGTGAAATGTATGGACCAGTCCATTCTCAAACGAATAAGAATATGCGAGTAGTAAATAGAAAGCTTTATGAATAAATGGATGGGATGTAACTTTATGTAGTTTTCATTTATGAAAGGCCTACTGAAAGATATTTATTGGAATCCTTTTATCCAGAATGAGGTAAAGTAAGATCATTGGCAACTTTGAAGCGAAACAATAATGAAGGTGCTTCTTATCCTATTGCCAATTACCAAAGGACTGCTAGTCAGTTGAAAAAAGTCCATATCAAATATACAATACCTCAAAATGACTACTGTTCGACAATCAAACCCTTTCCAAATTTTGGCAAGGTTTCCTTATTTCTTTCACGGAAACAAAAAACGATTTTACCTTTTAAATTCCAAAGTCTAAACTATTTCGCAGTTGTACGAGACTGAAATTTACAATGGACACAAAGTTATGAAACAGTATCAGAGGATCTCCTAGGAAATGAAAAAGTATACGTTGACTTTGTCAAAGTTCATAAAATCGTTTTCTTTGTTAGGGCATACAAATAAGTACCCTCAAGTAGGTGTTTCAAACATATTTTAACAGCAAACAATTGTGCTCAAAATTCGAATTTTTGAGACAAAACAAAGGTATCATTTATCAAAGGAAAATTTGCAAAAAAAATGACACCTTGTGTCTCTCTGTTCATAAAGGTGTAGAACCATACATAAAATGGTGCGAAAATGGAAAACTAACACTTGAGCTTGTTTTGAAAAACTCCATACAATAAAACTAATCGTTCAATAAATGAAAGTTTTATCTATCACAATCTCATGGATCATTTCAACCGTCTCTCTCGATATCTTGTTACATTTGAAATAGCTTCCTTGAAGAAAAGTCTTGTAAAAAGTGGAAAAAAGAGTGCGACACCAACTTTGACTCGAAAGACATTGTTCATATGTTTTTGTACGTTTTCCATTTTCCCATAAATATATAGTTTTATACATTTTGTTTCACTCCCTCATTTTTGCACAGAGTTTTCTCGTCTTCTAAAAGTCAAAACGCTTCATCTCCTTGTAAAAGTCAACTCATATTCCCAAGTTTAATCTCTTCCATAGTCTTGAGCCTATAATCCAACACTATCGTTTCTCTATAGCCCTTTTTTCCTATCCATTTCATATTCGAGCGACAAAATTGAGCTTTGTAAATACAACATACGCTAAAGCAGGCTTGTATATTCTTCTCTCAACGAAGCAAACACAGAAGTTCTTTTCTAGTTTTTCTTTTGAACTTTTCAAAAAGTTTCCTATAGACCTATGGTGGTGAGATCCCTTCCAACGGCGATATCTTTCAGCAATCCAACGTCTATTGATGTGCATATTACGTTAAACCAGACAGTAGTAAACAATAAATAAACCAAGAATATGCAGAAAATTTCTCCATTTATTGATTGACAGAAACTATTGGAGATACTTTTCAACAATTTCAATGGCACTCTCGCTTGTGTTTTCAAGTATATGATGTCAGTAACTGTAAATCGATTGGAAGAAATGTTGAACAATTCCTAAAAATTTTTCTGGGTCTCACCGGTGATGTATCTACTTTATCTTCTTCGATTGACTCCAACATACATATTCGTTCAACATGTATACCTCTTCATAAAACTCAAACAGCATTGCTACGGCATGAACAGGATCTTTTTTTTTAACCATTCCTTAACTTTTAAAAAAAAAAAGCAGAACCTAATAGAACCTACATTCCAAGACTTGTGCTTCCAAACAAAAATCCAACAGAGTCGCTCTAAAACTAGTCAATAGGGTCTTGGACAGATTGTTCAAAGCACGTCGAGACGCATTCATAAAAGTGTGAAAAGTCAAATGGTCGAAATAAATAAATGTGACGATACAGAATAAACAGATGGACTTGGAGAAACAATCGTCGAGGAGGAGTCTTGTCATTTGAAAGAGTAGGTTTCTTGGTGATCCATCAATGTTCCTTGTACAACGTCCAACCTGGCTTGTGTCTCTTCTTGAAAAGCTGGGACAATAGCTAAAACATTAGGTTAGGTATTAAACAAGGAAAAAAACTCCTTGATTACTGCTAGACCTTTGAGAATAATCTCTCCATTGTTATCGGTAATAAATGTACAAGATAGTTTTTGGCTTTACACGGCATCTTTTTGCAACGTCTTGAATGTTGGTCTCTGTGTTTTCAAAAAACTGAGTGAATCACAAAATATCTTTACAAAACAACTTGAGGTGTATATCCATTTATGTGGAGTGTTGATATAACCTTGAGAACCAGAAAAGGAAACCAAAAAAGGATTTCATCTATTCCCCAAAAAAAGGGACAGAAAGATTGATTGGTTTTACAAGGAAACAATCAGTCCAAAAAAAAAGAAGAAAAAAGCTGCAACACTATGTTCAACCAGCTATATTGCGTTCAACAGACTCGACACAACCAATTGGTAACGAGTCTCTGATATGGATGACAACACTCTCTCAAACTATAGGAGAGAATGGGCAAGCAATGTCATCAAGGTTTTGGGTAAACATGGGAAAAGACTGTCGTTTAACTTGATGATGGGTAAGAATCAACAAGGCAGGGAATTCTACAGTAATAGCAATCTAATGAGAAACCAATGCCAAGTCTTGTTGTCTCATCCAAAAAAGCAACCAACAAAGATTGACAAATTTACAGAGAACTTGGTATGTAAAGACGTGATTGAAGCTTCTATTGTATTTGATCGTAAAGGATTTTTCATGACATAGTTGCAAAGAAGAAAAGACTTCATAAAGCGAATTCACTCTTTTTCATTACAAGTGATTTCTTGGATCTGGTAATTGAGAATAGTCAACCAGCATCATGAATTGATATTTGAGTTTGTAAAAGGAGATATCAAGTTGTTAAGGAATATGTAAAGGTGATTTCGTGGAGACTTGTTAAAAGTCTCACAAATGTAGGGGTACAATACGCTTATTGTATGAATAATTTGAGGGAATAGTAGGGGAATATTGTCCCGATGTAAGGGCAGTGCTTGGAGAGTGAAACATACTTTTATAAGAATCACTTGAAGACAATCTAGCAAAACCAAACCTATCTCCAAAGCTGTAGTTGCTGCAATTTCTTCGTACAGACTTTAAAAAGCCCTTGTCGTTGACGACTAGAACACAGTTCATGACTATGGATAAAACTGTACTCCAATCCTTCAAGTATGGTTATGCTTCAACACGTAAACAAAAAGCTTTTCAAAGGTTCTTTTCGTGTGTTTCGTGGGTGTCTTTGTCTCAAGGTCTCGTAAAGACTTGAGCGTCAAAAAGGACAAATTTTCTTCTACTTGTAGCTTTGTTCATTGTCTTGGTAAACCAAACGATGATATCATTCAACTGGCTACTCAACTCAATATCACTTGTGTTTTTCCAAACTCGTTACTCTCAAGGGTACTTGTCCATTTTTAAAGAGTCATTTCAAACAATATTGAGGTGGAACCTAAACATGTTACAAACTGTCATTTTGCTGAATTGAAACGTATTGTTTTGTTATGGTGATTCAAAACAAGTACTTTTGAAAAGAGTTAAAAAAATAACCATTTTTTGTCATTCTTCTCTTCTTTTGCATAGAATGTGTCTTTAAAGCATTGGCTCTTAATATTTTGTTATCAGTGTGAAAATCAAAGTTAACTTTCTAATACGGGAAAACAACCAGTAGGTCGTACTAGGACAAGTTCAATTTCCATTCCTAATAGATCGTTTGTACAGAACTTTGACTGCAATCTAGTTGATTCTTTCTTTGAATTTACATCATCCTGCAGTCTTTGAATACTACTTTCTGTCATCTTCATCCCTTTTCTTGTACAATGAGCATTCAACTGTTTTTACAACATATTACAAATCTAAAAAACAAGATCTTCACCATTCCACAATTAAACCGATAAAGAAGAGAAAAAACGAGATAGAAATATTATCTTATCCTTATCGACTAGATGACCACTCCATATCAAGCTGGTCTTAGGGTCGAAGAAGTAAGGTGGAAATATTCTGAAGCATAAATAGTCAAAAGGTGTAGTTTCGACATAAGAACAATACAATATATCAGATAAATCAGTAGTAGATTCTAGATCACAGAAAACAGTATGTTGTACACTTTCATGATACTGCAAGTTCACTTGTCAAAGATTACTTGATTCAACTGAAGAAATTGTCTCGAATTGATCATTTGGAGTTACCCACCCCTACAAAGACAACACAACTATCACGGGACAAAGAGATTCTTTGTAATCGGGATTTCCAACGAAAAAAGCTTCTGAAAAGGTTGTACGTCGACGTTTTCGGAAAAGAAATGACGACTAGTCGCTTCATCATACTATCATAAGATAACAAATAAGTTCGTTTCAAGAATCAAAAGGTAAAGATTAGTCTCAAACAGATACAAGAAAAATCGAAAATCGACCAGTAAAGCAACTCGATACCCTATTTGTTGTTCAAAATCAGAACCGTATGTAGTTCTACTGATAGTAAGGTACAGAAATAGTCGTAAGTGTGCAAATAATGCCCTTTTATTTTGTAAAGTCAACAATACAATTTTCCTTTATAGTAAAAAAATAGGTCAAATTCGTACTTTTATGACAAAAACTATTATTAATATTCCATATACTACTAACCAATACACTATGGCTTTCTCTTGTTGTCGTTGTTGTTGTCTTTTTACAATTCCAAGTAAATAAAACAATGACACTTTTCCTCTCATGCCAACAACGAAGAAAAAAGTAAAAGATAGAAACACAAGTCATTATCTTTGTAGAATTGATGACTCTGCCATACTGTACTAGGCTCGGGCTCATATTTGTTGTTGCTGCTGTTTTGGCTGAATTTCAAGTAGTGGCGAATGGTTTGATTTTGCTGTGATAATCGAAAAATGCTTTATGGTTCGTGTCAATGTATGTGCAAACCACTTTGTTCGTCTGCATATGCTTTCTAAGAATTATTTACCAAAAAGTTGGACTTTATCTTCAGAGTCAAACCAAAAACTCTAGTCGGACACGATGACATCAATGTGTACACTTGTGTAACACTGTAGAAGTTCAACCAATCCTTCATGAATGTCTTTCAGAGCTACTTTGTATACTATCCAAACGCAACCTGTTTGCACAAAATGTTGTGTCTCCTTTTCACCTTTTTGACAGCTACAACTACCACTATTTTCAACAGAATGACCTTCAGTGTGTTGAAAAGAAAAAACAGATCAGCAGCACTCTTGAAAAGGCAAATACTGTTATACACAAGTCGCCTTGTTTCCCATTCACACCGTACTACTAATGTTACCCTCCTCTTCAACTATATAAGGACCAAAGACGATTTGCAATAGATGCCTTTCAGAAACAGCAGCAATACTGGCTTCAACACTATCACTCTTACGACTTTAGACAAAACTTAACTTTTGGTAAACCCAGTAATTCAAAAAAACAAAGGCGTTTCTCAAAACGGACTAATAGCTACAGTCGCCATCGTCACAACTCTTTACCCAGGTGAACACAACCAAGATTTTTCAACAGTGTCCTTTTCCCTGCTTTATTTCATGGTTCTCAACAAGGTGAGTATATTTTGAACTGAAAACTTTTCCCTTGCTTTCAAAATACAAGTTTATTCAGCTTTCGTTTTCACAAACTGTCAAACCTTATGGGTGTCGTTTTCCATATTCGAATCAATAGAGAATTGATCTAAAAGCACAACAATACAAACAATCATTGAAAATAAGCAATGATGGACTCAAGACTTTCCTATGCTATCCTGAGAAATGCCTGTTGCAGAGTTACAGACCGATTTCTCCATCTTGAAAAGAGTCATATAGAAGGCAAAAAAAACTACTATACGGAATATAATTCTGTGAACTGACCAAAACACTCAACTGAGAGTCTGACTGGTTTCTTGTTCTTGCAGAATATCTTGGAAATATCAACCCAAAGACTGATTCTCAACAACAGACTACAAGTAGACTATCAACTGCTAATACATACGCAAAACTGCTCTGAAACAATTATCAATAAAAATAAAAAAACTTGTGAGACAACTAGTTGACTAAAGTACCAAAACTCAACCACAGCTTGAATTCCTTTGTCTTTGCTCTCTTCTCGACAACGCTAATCTCAAATTTCCATACAAGACCAAAAGTGAAATAAAAACAAGTGTTGCATAAAGTATATAAACTCCAAAGAGATAATAAAAGTTGTAAATACTAAAAAGAAACTACAGTCTACTTGGAACTCAGAGCTCAGGACTCGATGGACTGTTCTAAAAGAAACATTTGAAGGGCTTAAAAAAGAAACGCAGATAATAGAAATTCACTTGTCCAACTAAAACGAACGAAGAATTCGCTTTAGAAATGAAAGTCGGAAAAGTTTCAATAGCAAACTTGAACCAGGTCCACAGCCTTGACAACACTCACTGAAACTTCCCTTTCATCCAACAATCAAACCATTGTGTTCATTTCTGATTGGATTATTATGAGAAGGATCGCTTTGTATTCTCTCCTTTCACTGGAGATATATTATTTTAAGTGACTAGTGAGTTTTATGAAAGAATATATTCCACTTGGAGATATGTAAAAAGTTTCTGGAACTATAAGTGTGCTAGATACAATCAATCTCACATCTCAGTATTGTTGTGAAACGAGAAGAACAGTGTCGTAACAAAGGTCCTCTCAACTCCCTAGCGACACTGTAGCCTTTTAACAGAGTTGAGTTTGATCAATCTTGTCTCTGCAAGGTAAATTTGAAACTACTTGTGACCCTATTTTGATAACAAATCAAGAACGGGTTTTGCTACAACCAGTTTTTGACTCGTTCACGATCTGAGAACCTTTCTTTGTTGGTCACTCAAAATTAAGGAAAGCTCCTTAAAGGTGCGAAACGGTCTTTTTCCAATTTCAATGACATTAACTCTGTTTGGCTTGCAAATTACGCTCAAGGAGCAATCTTTGTTCGATTACGAGTTATAAAGAAGAATAAATCGTATACTCAACTCTAGAATTGGAAAGTATACAGAGGACAGGACGATAATAAAAAACTGACCCAAGGTTGGGAATACTTTTGTCTATACACAAATTCGTACATAAACTACTTACGACAAGGAGGATCGAACCTCAAAAGTTACAAGGGTCTCGCTTTGTTCTCTACATAAAAGACTTGTAGAGAGTTTTAACTGGTATAACAACAGTAAAAGTGGTGATGCTTTTGCTTCTGCTTGCACATATATTTCAAGATTCATCTTTCCTTTTTACTTTGCCGAGAGGAGATGAAAGATTCTTATTTTTCCATTACTTCTCAATTTATATTCTTTTCTTTTCACTAGGAGACGAAATTTATCGAGTATATTTAAAAGAACAAGACCTTTACCGGTTTGGATAACAACCAAAATATAAATTTGAGATTTGACTTTGCAAAGGAATCAGATAAATTGTTTTATTTTATTCTGCTGAATATTGTTTGCGAGTTGACGACATTTTTATTCTTTGTAGAACAACTTGGATAAAAAGGCGTTTCTCTTCTTTTTCAAGTTTGACTTTCCCTAGTAGAAATGAACATTCCTTCTATAGATAGACCCGTTTTTTATACGAAACGTTGGGTTGTCTTTGATTCTCGTTACCAATATCCAAAAGGAAGCCTCTACTAGTGTACCCATCAGGTTATACTTCGCAAGAGTCTTCTTCCAAGTGCCTAACTCAAGGAACTTTTGTATAGTGACTCACTTATTCAATGAGCTGATGGTTGAGAGTGGAAGAAGATTAGGACTCAACTGGACAAATCGTTCCTTGATTATGCTGAGCTTTTAAAAGTTTTACCTTTTTTTATATTGGAAGAGATAATAGCCCTCTTGGAGTTATATCGTTCCTAAAGCAGCTTTGTACTTTCTATAGTTTGCTTTCTTGTATATCTTTAAAAGTTGTGGTTTTTACAAAGTTTATCGTACAAGAGGATGCAACAAAAGCCTTTAAACCTAAACAGTCATGTTTACCTTCAAAAACACCTCAAATGTATAGTCGACTACTGAGGAGAAAGAATTCAACTATGATTCAAATGATATGCAATGACAAGATACGAGAAGAGAGTCGCTAGAATAGACTCAATTCGACTGAATTGAATTTCTTCGAAAAATATATTTTCTCCTCTTAACAGAATCCACAGTATCAAATGCCACTATTTTCAGAGAAGAAAGAAACAGGAGTTATTGACTCTTACAGAAATTGAGTACTGATGATACACTTGAGTCAATGATGTTGCTGAGAGTTTGATAAAACCACGAGATATTTTGGATCCTTCTTAGCACATTTGTTTTGCTTTGTCTTTTGCTATCATCAACTTTTGTAGCTTTAGTGATAAACTGCTAGTTATGAAAGCGTAAGAAAGGAATTTGATGATTGCTGAGAATAAAGAAGTAAAGCAGCTTGCGGGTTTCTGCATTTCTACTAAATAATAATATTTCAACTGGAGCTTTTGAATAGACTACAAAAGAGAATGACTTGGTTCATAATCTAGTTCCGTGTTTCGAAATGAAGCAAAAGTGACGAAAAAACTATTCCATAAAATACAGAAAATCTAGAGAGAGACGTCTATGGAACAAATTCTTCATGAACAATCTATACTGCTTGGAACTCTCATGACTACTCTCGAAAATTCTGAAAGAAACTTTCTTATCTATGTGAGAATGGGCCATGTTCAATAGCTTTATACTCTCAAAGAGCATAAAAAACTTGTGAAATAAACATTGGCTTCCTTCCAATCCTTCTTGTACCCTATGAGAGTTACCATTATATTAGCATACGAGAATAAGAATATCGATAGTTCAAAAAGCCATATTGATCGTTCTTCCATAGTTGTAGTCATCTCAGTCCAAGCCATAAAGGGTATGACATAGTCATCAGTTGATACAGAAAACAAGTTGGATTGGTATCCTTTACTGTTTTCGTTGTTGTTGTTGTGACCGACAAACAGTCAATCGTTCATTTACTTATATTTGTACTCCGAAATAAACAGAAGATTGCTTAATTTCACTTTGGCGATGGCGAGCTTGGATGAAAAGTGGAAAGCTGTGGACAAGTTTAAGTCTGTTGTGGTAGATCGTGAAAGAGATGTTGTTCGAGTGACAAAAGAACTGTATGATCTTCATAGCAACAGAGAACAACTCAGGGGTATAACAAGCAGTTGCAACTATCGCTTGACCATACCATTTGCCCCCCATCTCTTTGGCTCAGGCAAAACGACCTTTGCCCGAACCTATTTGGAGTTGGTGCAAAGGTTTGGTGAAACTTTTCTGTCGACGTTTGCTTCAGACCCTTCGAGGAGAACCTTTTTGGAGAATTTGAAGAAGGCTTCGTTGCTCTTTGTGGATTTGAGGGAGTTGAAGCCCATAGACCCGATAGAGTTTTCTCGAAACCTGAAGTGGGCAGTGTACTATTTGTTAATCAAGGCTGCTTGTTTGCAATCAGGTCTTCCGCAACCAGACCCGGACGAATGTTTCAAGGAACTGAAACTTAGGAGTGATGCTTTGGTTCAGAAAATCCGTTCAATCTTAAACATTCCTTCCGATCAATATCTCCTTGTGGCATTTGACGAAGTTGGTGTGTTTGATACAAAGGCAACTTTGTTTGAACTGGAGAAGAATGACAAAGGTGTGGTTCGACCATACAATGACTTTATCGGTATCATTAGTCAATTGTGCGAAGAACCCGACTTGTTTTTTATAGTTATTGGGAAAAGCAAGGGTTTAAGTATTAAGAATGATGTAGCTTTTGGGCTATCAAGAGTTATACTACATTTTATCCCTTTATCACCTTTGGACGCTTCCAGTATCGTTGAATTCCTTGAAAAGAGTCTTCTAAAGACACCTACTCAAGAACCGGTTTGTAATGTCTTATGTAGTTCTTCATTTTCAGTAAATGAATTGGCAGATTCATTATTGGAATGTACAGGTGGAGTTCCTGGTTTGTTGACTCGTGCAGTAAATATGCTTTTGAATTATATAATAGCAAGAAACCAGCCTTTCATATCGAAAGAAGAATGTTTGACATGTATGAATGACTACGATTTCCGAAGAATTTGTGCTGAACCATTTGTGGAACGAATATTGAATTTGGACGAAGATAGAAAAAGTGTTTTTGATATACTTTTAAAGATGGCACTTTATCGTATACCGTTTAAAGTAGATGACATATTGACCTCGGAGTCCTTTTTATATGATGCAGTCACTGAAATGGGACTATATCGATATCCTATTGACCAGAATACTTTTCAAGTCCTAATTCCAAAAATATTTGTTGGAATCTTCAAGAAGGACCCTTCCATATCTTCTTTGGAAAAGATACTTCTTGGATCACTTGATGTCGAACCAGTAGATTGTTTCTTCTATTCAAAATGTCGTGTATTTGAAGGAATTGTTGCTTTACGACTAGTTTTGATGTTGTCTTCAAAGAATCGAAATGAGTTGAGGGAATTGTTGTGTCAATTGTCTCCAATATGGAAACAAATGAAACTTCCAATCAGTACAATATCACCTATTCACTATATCAAGTCTGTTGTTAGTTCTAGAGAAACAAGAAGTGAATCGAACAAGAGTCGAAGAACCTTTGCCAATACTGAATGGAATAAGATTATTCGAGACACACTTTATTTAGAGACCATTTACATTCCAGTGGACGCTACTTCTCATAGTCCTGATATTATATTCAAATTACAATCTCCTGTGGAACCCAAAGTTCTTACTGTTGGAGTTGCATGTAAAGGACGTTGGAAGTCGGAAGGAATTGGCTGGTCAGATATTATAGATGAAGCCAAGAAATTTTTAGATCCTGTTTATGATCAAGTCTTATCCAGTGCAATGGATTATCATCATTGTATGCTTATTATCGTTAGTACAAAGTTATCATTGAATGTTTCTAATGAGTTGGGTAATCAGAGTCGTTGTTACTCCAGTGGAATGTTTATTAGAAATGATTCGTTCAAAGTACCTGATAATTGTGAACTTGTTATTCTTTGTGAAAGAGATATCCAAATGCTGATTGACGAAGAAATATTGAATGGACTTGAAAGAGCATTTCATGTTTCTCATAATCCTACTTTTTGGGATTTTGGATTAGATTTACTTGATAGAATCCGTAACAGTTTCTTAAGTTGGCAATAGACTTTTACTCAATCCTTCACTTTGTGATTTCTTTTTAAGAGCAAGTAAACTCTTTTTTTTTATGTTTGAAACTTGGTTACATCTTACTTGCTTGTCTTTTGGACACCATACAGTCTTCCTTGAAAAGAGTTTATTAGCTGGCTTTCAAGGCTGGCTTATAATCGTTTCATGTCAATTTGCAATAATATTGCAGAGTTGTAGCAATGATTCAAAATGAATAGACTATACATACATACATGTTGATACAACTAGAATGAAAAATATCCTTTCTTGTCCAAATACTTAGTAAAATGGTTACCCAAAGGATATCTCAAAACATTCTTCAATTGTCTGCTATGTTGTCTTTCTAGTCTGTTGAAAAAAGACTAGTAACTCCTTTTACTATAATTTTCAAAGACTGAGACAGAAAAAGGTTGTTTGTAGATTTCACTTGGACTGTCCTTCCTGTCTTTTGTTAACTGAATAGAAGAGAGTTTTCCTCGGTTTTAGACCAAACGAAGGGAATGGCAGCAAAAACTTGAGGCTTCCTCTAACTTGAGAACCTGCACTGCGGTCTAAAAAAGAGTTTTAGCTTCTTGAAATTCGATAAAAGTTTAGATTCCTTTCGTTTTTATGTGTTTTTTTCAAACTGCATTTCTAGCCTTAGAATTCATATGAATGGCTCCTACAAATATGAAACTTGTTGGATCCAAGAGAAAACATAGCAAAGGTAAGAACAAATACTAAAAAGAGTATTTAAGTTTGCAATTCAAACTCTATCTCAAAAGTACTAACAACACTATATATCCAAACGCTGTTTTAGTGAATTAGACTGAAAACTCACCGATTCTCAGACAAGGAAAGTAACCCGGTTGCAAAGATGAAAAAATTTCGTTCAACTATCGATAGTACAAGAGACATCTTAAGTGACTCAACACATTTGGACACTGA